ATTAAAGAACATTTCGCCGCTCGTTCAAGGACTACATTGCTAGATACCAAAGACAACCGGTTATCACGATGACAGCGAATTGAACAAACCAGCAACATTTTTGGAAATGGTGATCACTCGACTATTGACATTGAGTTGCAGCAATGCACAAGATGGAAAAGCGAAACCGGATCGTTAAAACCAGAAGATTTAGGAATAGTTCATAAAAAGAAGAAGATTCCACCATTGTTGTGGTCATAGATACGAGTCGAAATATATCACTGGTTCCGACGGCGTCGTGCGCTCTGCCACGATCGAAATCACAAACTGAATTTGCAAAAGGCCAGCAAGGAGATTCTGCCCACTTCCATGGGACACCGAAACTTAAACTGATTAGTTGATTTGTATATAATTAGTCATTTAGCATAATGTTATTTGTAACTCTTTCAATATATCTCAGTCATTTCTTTTCCTTTCTGCTTCCTTTGTCCAAGCTTAGGTATTATTAGACTTAGTCTTCGATAATATGTTGAACTAAACATCCTTCAAATAACAATGTAACACTCATGGGTCCACACAGTCTCCAGACACACATGAGATTTATTATACATTCCAAACGAACTATAACATCACCGCCAATAAGAATATAGTTTTCCCTTTCTATTTTTCTTTCCTATTTCATTAATCCCTTCTTGGATATTTCTAAAAAAATCTACATTTATCGCATCTAAGCATTCGTTATTCACCAGTTGGATAACCGAGTCTTATCAATATCACTAGCTATGTCTCAGACGGAAATATCCAGCACAATCTAAATCGTAACATATATCTTTTGGACTCACATCATCTAGACTTCCAAGTTTTATTAAGCATTACAGGCTTTAGAAATAGCCAACACAACTAATTGTACATAATCACACAAGAACATCAACAATTCTATCTCATTTCAACAAATATACTCTGATAATTTCAATCAATAAAATAATAACCTTCGTGCGTCATTTATTTCAAGAAATCATTACCCATACATGGAATAGCATTTTCTTCCATTCAGTATATATTTTTCCATTTTCTAACATCGCAGCGTGCATTGCGTCATCCACTTAAACTATCAGTGTACCATCTGTCCTCTTCATTCCATACTACCGTCTTCATAACGTTTTCTAAATATCTTTTTCAAAATTTTGATATGGAATCATTTTCTTGTATTGTCCATATGATTTTGTTTCACTATCAATTCTATTATTTGGTCTTCATCATATTCTATTTCTTCTTCGCCCAAATTAAAAATTTTCAATTTAAGTTGAGCTCTCGATTTTATAAGTTTAATCAGCAATTTATTCTACTCCTTTACACACATATCCACTAACACTGTTGCACCTTACTCAAAATCAGGTGCAATAATTGCATTATAAGCTATGCATCTAGTATATCCTGAAAATGGTTATGTGAGGAGTGCTGCTCTGTTGGACTACTCTGTTCAGAAAACTTTCTTTCCTGATTTTTTAAACCTGTATTCGCAGTGGTCTTTAAAACTAAGTTTGTCATCAATCATTATACCAAGATACTTCATTACTTCCACTCTATCTAGCTCTATTCCATTCATACATTCATATACAATTCTTCGTCTCATCTCTTTCCTTACACTACTTATAGTTACGTATTAAGTTTTCACTGTATTCATTTTTAATTAAGTCCTATTCATCCATTCTTCCGCAATGCTTAAAGCCTCATTTACTCATTTCTCTCCAATTCCGTACAGCTATCACCAGTTACGTATATTAACGTATCATCAAAGAATATTTTAATGCACAATCTTCTTTTTGCAAAATATAACAATAACACACAATCTTCGTTAGGCAGAATATTGACTATATCATTTATGTTCATATAATAAACAGCTGTAGTCATAGTACTGACGATTGGAATAATTTTATTTAAATATACAAAAACCACAATGTTTTTGATTATAATTTCAAAAAAATGCCTTCAAGATGTACCACTCAGCAATTCTTATTACTCACTCCTCAATAAAACAGTCACAAGCTACCAAAAACAATTTCGAAAAACCTGTTAAAACTGTTCACTTTCCTTGATTTTTTAACACATTGCGTACGGGTCACGAGATATCTCGTTTTTATGTTTTTTCGACTGAATCAATGACTTAACACTTTACCGACCGATAGCCTATTAATCGGCTTTTTATCGCCAACCGACCGATAGCATATTAACCCTTTGAGTGCTATGGGCACACATATGCGTCCAGCGAAAGCTATCGATATAGACTATAAACGCAAATACACGCTCGGCAGATTTTATCAGTATGGACTATAGACGCAAATAAGCGCTTGGCAAAAATGATCAGTGTACTATTGTCAAACGTATATGTTTGGCAATTATTTCTATTGTCCAACATTCTGTCACTGTCTGCGACACTCAGAAACCACATACCTCGTCATTTAGCAACGATGAAAAACAAAATTTAATTTTAGACACAACTTCAGTTAGTTTCTGATATCTCATTTCATTTGTTACGTCGTACAGTTCTTACTGTTGCATTGGCATATTGTTGTATTAAACTTATAGTGTATGTAATTTTCATATTGTTATTTACCCCTGTTTCATACTTTAAAAATGTATTCCAGTTTAAGAGATTATTACAAGAAACGACATCGATGACGGCTTGGATGAAACGGCAGATTTAAGTGACAATTATGATGACGAAATACAGGTACCACACGAATATGTTCTACTATCATCAGATTTGGAAGATACAGAAAATAGCGTAAATAATGGGATAGTTATATGTAGAAGGAAAAATAAACAGCAAATACTTAGCACATCTTTCGATGAGGATGATTTAAATTCAAATTCGAATTTAGAAAGATCCGACTTGAATGTTCTTCCAACATTGTCATGGTCGTAAAACGATTTCAAGCCCATACTACATACATTTAACGATAAAAATTCTGGAATAAAACGAAATTTAACTCCAGAAGCTACGCCTTTAGATGCTTTTCAACTCTTCTTTTGAGAAGAGTTAGTTTCAAATATTACTGAGGAGACGAACAATTATTATAAATTTGTTATTGAAAATACTACATTTAAAACGTATTCTCGTATTAATACTTGGAAAGACATCAATATGTGAGATGTACGGATTTTTGGCTATCACGATGTTAATGCCGCGGGTGAAGAATTGACTCTGAAAGAATATTGGTCGACCGATTAGGTGTTAAAAACTAATATTTTTCGAAAAACTATGGCGCGAGACAGATACATGATATTATTGTAAATATTGCATTTTAATGATAATATTGCATTTTAATGATAAATGAATATTGCATTTAAATGAACAAATTGATGGTCCATTGATAAAAATACGACCTATAATTGATACTATGAAGGACTCTTTCTCACAGTCATTTTATCCGTACAAAGATTTGTGCATTAACGAAAGCCTTATGTTATTCAAAGGTCGGTGTTATTTTAAACAATTTATTCCGTCCAAAAGAAGTAGATTTGGTATTAAATCATTTATCCTGTGCGACTGCACAACAAACTATATATTAGATTATATAGTATATACCGGAAAAAATACAGATATTGTAAGTAATTCTACAACCATTGGGCAATCGGCAGATGTTGTTATAACACTTTTACATCCATACCTTGAAAAGGGCCATACATCGATAACAGATAATTGGTACACAAGCCCGCATTTGTATAATGTACTTCATAAACATAAAACTAATGCGTTTGGGACAGTACGAAAAAACAGAAGAGATATGACCCATATCGAGAGAAAATTGACAAAAGGGCAATTTGACTACAGATGTACAGATAATTTATTGGCATTGAAGTGACGAGATAGAAAAGATATATGGATGTTATCAAGTGCTCACGAACCGAAAATGATAGAATCTGGCTAAAGAAATTATCTTATAGGATCGCCCAAGTTATAACAGAATGTGTTGCAGATTAATACATCAAAATGGGCTCTGCAGACCACGTTGACATGGTTCTAAGTATAATTAATTCATGCAGAAAATGTCTAAAGTGATATAAGAAGTATTTTTTCCATTTAGTAGACATCTCATTATATTACTCGTATGTCCTGTATCAATGTGTGACTGGTAAAAAAATTACAATATAACGATTTTCATCTGTCACTAATCAAGCAAATTCTGTAAAAATACCTTCAAAATAGAAAACAAGCGGGCGATGGCAAAAGAAGCGTACAAAACCTACCATTTCGTTTCACTGAGACATTTCCGTTCAAAAATTTTGAATGCAGAGAGAAAATCGACAAAAAGGAAAAGTGTTGTCTATAGAAAACAGCAAAGAAGGATGGATACATCATATGAATGTAAAAAATACGACGTCGGATTATGTGTTGATACTTGTTTTGAGATTTATCATACGCAAATGAATTATTAATTTTCCTATTGTTTTTTCTTAAAAAATCAATATATTAAATGTTAATTTCTTAAAATATATATATATTTGAAGCCTTTCCATGGTTATATAATCTTTCTGATGATTTGTTAAATTTTCTGATTTTGAATATCCAAATACATTATAATTATCAAATTATTGGTATTTCAAATTCTAGCAGGTGAGTAAACAGTAAATATTGAAAATGAAAATGTTTTCATTCAATGCGAAATAGACAACGGAATAGTAGTTTGTATATTATATTATAATGTGTCATATCGTCGACGAGATCCATACTGCGCGAAAAAGTATTTAGTCCCTAGCGATTGTCAGCGCCTATCGCGCGCCGTCCGTACGGACTGCATAGGCAACGAGTATTCAGCACTCAAAGGGTTAAAATGGAATATAACACAGAAAAAGGTGAGCGGGACTGATTCGGATAGATATGATGAAAACGAATCTTACATAAAAACATCATTTCGTAAAATAAGATGATTACATTTACTTAGTACATCGAAATCTGATGAAACTGAAGATGTTAATTAACAAAGCATCAATCCGAATAATATAAGATGGACCTCCCGAAATTGTGGGCTCACCATTCATGATTTTACAAGACAACAATCGGGAATTCAAACAGACATTTCTGATTCTTGGAAAATCTTGCAATTTTTCAAATTATTCGTATCTGGGAAATTGATGGATTTCATTGTTGAAAAAAACAACTAATCATTGGAGACGAGATAATATGTAATTCTGAGATAATAGTAGAGAGAATATAGATAATAGTAATTCTGAACCTGGGACAAAGACAGAAGAACTGTACTGTTTGATCGCTGTTTGCTTAATAATGTATAGAGAAAAAAAATTATCAATTGATGAATGTTGGAACAAAAATAAATTATTGCAAAGCGACATATTTTGCAGAATAATAAGTAGAGATCGCTACAAAGTGTTACTGAAAAAGTGTTACTGCGCTTTCGCGGAAGGAATTACAAAGTATGGTACAGGTGCGCCGTCGCGAAAGGGTTAAGCAGTATCGGTAGTGTTTGACATTCAGCAGAAAGGTGATGTCCAAGTGAATATGGTTAAAGTGGTTATCAAGTACGTCTATGTGGATTGGCTTGATCTTATTGTGACGATGAATTTTTCCTCTTAGGCAAGCAATATATTCTCTAGACCATTTTTGAGTACGTCCTTAAGGATCAAGCCAAATTTTTTTTTCGTATAAATTTAAAGATGTGATCCAGCTGCTGTGGTGTGAAAGATTATGATGACTTTGAAAACTATCTTGCGTAATGCTTCTGGTAAGAATGGTCTGATGAATCCTGACAAAATGTCACAATAGATGTTTATTCCTGGTTCTAGTGTGATTTTCGTAGTTTCAATAAAATTATATCTCTGATCTGATCATTGTCGTTCAGTTGTGCTTGTTGGATTTCAAGAGATGTGAGAATGGATGGCATGTTTATAGTATTAATGTAGGATACTGTATCTGGGACTGTGTTATCATCACCCTAATCATCACATAGACCTATCATCACATAGACTAACTCAGTGAAAAATTGTGAGATGTATTCGAGCTATAGTAGTTGACTTTCCGATGTTTGGTCCAGTTTTTATTGGAAGACAAAAGTAAGTGGTTTGTTGTCCGTTTTGATGACAAATTGACGGAAATCGAAAAAGTGATGCAAAAATTTGACTGATGGAAAAACAGCAAGAAGTTTACAATAGTATGTGCTGTATTTCTGTTCTATCTGGCCCAGTTATCTGGAAAAAAATCCTACGGGTTTTTAGGTATCATCTTCTAGCTGTTATTGTTTAGCTCCGATAGCAGATGCGAATGCGTTGGATGTGAGCGTTATTGGTTCGTTAGAAAACGGAAAAGCCAGCAATGTGATAATTGCGAGTATTTTTGCGTATTTCAACTGCCTCATTGGCTTCAGGACTCCATGTGATCTTGGATATATCATTTTTTATTGACACTTTAAGGTAACTGTTGAGAGGCAACATGATCTGAACTGCCTGAAGTACACAGCAATGATAGTTGATCATGCCGAGAAATCTGCAAAGTTTAGCGATAGTTTTAGGTTTCTGATATCCTTTAATGGCATCAACTCGTTCGCACCTTGGAATGTAACCATGTTCATTAATGATGTAACCCAGGAAGTTTATTACTGTTTGGTTGAACAGGCAGTTTTTGAGAATGATAACGAGGTTGTTGTCTTTTAAGCGTTCAATGTGTGTGTTCCAGATATTAGTCTTCATCGTCCGAGAATACCTGAATGCAATCCATGTAGACGAAGACGAAGTCCAGGTCTCTGAAAAGTGCGTCCATAAATCGTTGGTACGACTGGATGTGGTTTTTTAGACTAAAAAGCATACCTAAGTACTCAACCCAAGATGTTATGATGGCAGTTTCTCAATGTTGTCCACGTGCATAGGTAATTGTAGATATACTTTTTCGCAATCAATTTTGCTGTAATGTTTTCTATCGTGTATACACGGAAAGTTTGAGCGGAGAACTATATGTCAGGATCAGTTGCATCATTGAGTTTACGATAGTCACCGCACGTTCTCCAGTGATGTCTTTCTTTCCTATCATATGGATAGAATTGGCGTAAATTCTGTTGGAGAATCTAATGATTCCGGAGTTCAGAAGTTCTCTGATATGAGTTTTTGCCGCCGTTGCCTCTTCATCCGCTAGTTTACGTGCTCGTACAGTAAGACTAGTAGACCATGCATAATAATTTTGTGCACAAATGGATGTGCTTTTAAATTTAAGCATGTCTTGCTCTAATCGACCAAGTGATTTCAACGAATTGTTTTAAAAGTTCAGCATATTTAGTAGGCAAATCTGAACTTATAGATAAGATGCCGTAATGCTGTGCTTCCATTGCATTACCTTTCGACAAGAGGTGAGACACTGGATCTATCAATTGTTGATATTTTTAATCAATCAACAAGTTTTAGTGAATTAAGAAATCAGTTCCGATGATTGCTATTTCCACGTCTGCGATGATAAAAGACCAGCAAAAACCTCTGCGGAGATTTAAATCAAAGTTGATAATTTTAGTGCCGTATATTTGTGATGGATTTGCAGCATAAAGTGTGAGTCGGTACTTCTATTTCTATGAAACGTTTTGCAGATGTTATGGACACGACGGACCTAGAGTCAATCAAGAATTTCTGTTTGGTAGTGTAGTCGGAGCTCTTTTGGTCTGTAATTGCTGTCTTGCACTGCTCTTACTGAAGACAGCGACGTTAGTTTCCCTAATTTGTTGTTGTCAGTTTCTCATTGAAGCGAATTTACAAGGTAAAAGACAGCGTTTTGCTTCGCTGCCAAAATTTTGGTGATAATAGGAGATTCTATTGCGAGTAGGTGTCGATGACTTTGGACTGCTGCGACTATGATGCGTCGGAGATTGTCAAGCCTGCAGTTGTTGGTTTTGTTGTTGCAGTAGAATGAGTTGTGATATGAACTCATTGATCTCCATCACAAAAAATTTTTGAATTTCTATGAACTTTGAGTCAATGTAATAAAGAGTCGGTGATGCAAGATAGCGTGTAAAGGTTGCCATACATAACCTGGTTATTTTGTTGAACGTAAGGCATCAGCTCGTAAGAACGGTCTGCATACTCGGCTAGTATAGTTGGCATCAAGTGGAAGTTTACTTGTGGTAATCAGATAGGGTTTGATATATGTTGGTATTCGTTCAAGCCAAAGTTGGTGCAATATGGTATCATCAACGAAACCATCAGCCAATTCGCTCATTTGTCGCAGGAACTGAAAAGGTGTTCTATTTGGAAGCGTTGACTCACGTAGATGTTTCTTTGTTTTTGTCTGAAATCAAAGAGTCGTGAGATTACCACGTTTCTGAGTTTTATCTTTACCTGTAGCGGGCTCCTTTTGTATCACGTCTGAAATCAGAGCAGTTAAGTACAATCAGTTATTTTAATTTATCATCAACGAATCCAAAAGTAGTGAATTCAGCCTCAGCCATGATGAACCAGAGATCCGGTCGAATTTTGGGGAATGCCGCCAATTTATGTTTACTCATCGAATAACATTTGTAACGCAATATATTGTTATAGCCTAGTGATTGATTATAATTGTACAGGTTCTACACACCAGATATATTTCCTGCTATTGTTCCTGTTATTGACGCTGTTGCGATGGGTGAAGCTGTCGCAGTGTTTCGTGGCGTCCATTGTCCGTTGTTATTTTGATTCCTTTGTTCAGAATGAGTTCCTTTGTCGTCTGTATTTTCTATGTTAAACTTGCCGTTGTTGCTGATTCATGGAGATTGGTTTCAGACTCACGTTGAATCCTGTTGTATCACATTTGAAATCAGCTCGATCGTGTCTTGATCAAGGGCCTTAGAGATTGTCCGATATTTCAATCTGTATGTATACTGTTGCCTCTTAACATGGTGTTCGATATTTGTGATTCTTTTTCAAGTGTTATGAACATGAGGTATGCATTTTATGATGAGGCAGTATGGTTGACACCGATACGTTTTTCCTTTTGTAGGAACTCTTGATGCACAAAGATCACGTCGAGGTCATCAATTGTGGTCAAATTATTGTTGACAGCCCACTATGTGGAAAAAACTTCGCACATTAAATAACAATAGTGATAACAATAATGATCAAGTAACAAAAATAAGTACATAAATTTAATTCAAATGATTCTGGAATGAAAACAGGAACTAATCAATTTGCTGTTCCATTAGACTACTTCGTGCTATTCTTTTCCGAAGAATTGATATAATTAATTGTTGAAAAAACAAATCAGTTGAAAGAAAAATCGGACACAAAATAAACATTCTGTGTTCATTTATAAAACCTTATGAACAAGCAGCAACTCTGAGTGAGATTTATTGTTTTTTTGCAACTATGTTATTAATGTCGCGAGTTAAAAAATTGCATTACTTCGAATTTTAGACAAAAGATAAATTTTTGCGTATTGATATTTTCGGACATATAATAAATAGATATAGATAAATACTTCTCGCGTGAATGCTTTATTTCAGTGAGATTAGTGATAGGCTATTAAAAATAAGTGAATTCTATTTTCATTTCAAAATAATTTTAATCCATTTTGTAACATATACATCGATTAAAGTTTATTATTATACAAAGACAGGTTATCGTTCAAACAATATATTCTGTCCAAACGGAATAGATTTGGCATCAAATCTTTTACATTCTGCAATTGTAATACTGGATACGTTTCAAATTTTATTGTATATGCAGGCAGGTATTCGGAGATAACAAAAATTACTGAAAAGTTTTTCGGAAAATCAGGTGAAATTGTAATTTCAATTATAGAACCAAATATAGGAAAAAATCACATATGTTTAATAATTGGTATATTAGTCTGACTTTTTTCGCTTATCTCCACAATAATACAACAAACGTACTGTAAAACAACATCGAAGAAAGGATATGACTATCATGAATGAAAAATTAAAGGCACGTGAAATATGTTTTCGGTCTTTGCCTAATATGTTATCGCTCAAATGGCAAGGCAAACGCAAAGTATAAATGTTGATTACTTTTCACTTCGCAAATTTTATAATCACAAAAAGATTAAATTACCGAATGAAGCTAGTTATCCGAAAAACAGTCTTGCATAGTGGACTATACTGCAAATATGGGCACGGTAGATATTAGAATGGAAATAAAGTAATAACTAACGTTGAATCCATCAAGAAAAGTACTAAATGGTATAAAAAATATTTTTTCTTTTACTTGATGTGACTGTTTGGAATGCATTTTGTTTGTACAAGTTGAAGAAGTTACAATGCGTGCATTTCACCTTCAATTACTAAAAGATATAGTCAAAAAACATAAGACGTTAAACAATAATTATAGCAATCGTAATAAATCTACTGCCTATAAATCATTATGATTAACCCATTCGAGACCGATTGCACACTGTGTGTGCAATGGATTTCCGAGGCTATAAGACGGCCTGCACACCATGTGTTCAATAACAGTAATGTGCAATTATCAGTTATTATGAGTAAACTAGTCGTCGAAATAAGATTTTTCTGAAACTAATGAAATCTGTAAAGTACAGGAAAACAAAATTTGGCATTGGTTTTACTGTGTACCAAAAAATCTAAAAATTATCTGAAGCCTTTCTTACATGTTAAATACTATACTGCGCATGCAGCGCAGGCTTAAGATAATAAGTTTTTCTTTTCTTTGATCCATCTTTATCCGTGAATAAATAAGAAATTTGCTTCCACCACTCTATACTTTCTTACCCGACATAAACTGACCAGCAACGACAACGCGTAATAGTTCCAGTCTTACAGAAAAAATTCTCAAACGATAGTTCTATACTTAGCCCCTAAAATGTCAGATCCTAAGGCAGGAACATCAGGAATGTAAAAGCAACCAGTGATAATGAAAGTGATGATTTCATGTTTGCAAGAAATAGAAAGAAAAATCGAAAGTTTGTTATCATGGATAATGATTGTGATTTAGAAGATGTGGAAAACATGAATGTGAATATTGAACTGTTAGGTGATACACAGGATGAGGTTTTTGAAGAAAATGATTGGGACGATTGTACTGACATTGAAAGTGAAATAAAACAGCATCAAAGTGAGCTTACTGAAGATACAGAAACATGGGAAGATGATGGTTCTCTTACAAAAATTCCTTTTGTGGATAAACTAGGTCTCCAAAAGTTACCAAACGGAGGTGGTCCGTATGATTTTTTTGAACTTTTATTTGAGAATACCTTTTTCTCTTTGATTGTTAATGAAACAAACAAATACGGCGAAATTGTTTTAAAGAAAAAAGGGGAAGGACTTAACCATTTCTGAATTCAAGGTGTTTTTAAGTTTATTATTACATATGGGAACTATCAAATGTTCAAGAATTGATAATTATTGGAATAAAAGCGAACAATTTGGTTTTCAGTGTTTTTCCCGGCACATGACTAGACGAAGATTTCAGAATGTCTTGCGATCGCTTTATTTCTCGTCGGATAATGAAAGTAATCATCGCCTACGGAAAATAATTCCAATTGTAGATTATTTTAATAATAAAATGAGAGAAATATATTATCCTCGCAGAAAGTTATCAATAAATGAATCTCTATTTCCTTGGAGGGGAAGGTTAATATTTAAACAATATATTGCCGGTAAAAAGTACAAACATGGTGTAAAGTTATACGTTGTGTGCGAAAGTTCTGGTACTGCGTTACGAATAAAAGTATATACAGGAAGTATTGACGATATAAGTGGAAAAGGACATGTAGATAAAGTTGTCTTTCATTTGATGAAAGATTTTCTAAATCAGGGACATTCTGTCTTCATGAACAATTATTACAGTTCTTTTGGTTTAGTTTCAAAATTGCTACAATACAAAAGTTACTGTACGTGAACATTGAGAAAGAAAAAGAAAGGAAACAACTTGGAAGTAATAAAAAAAAAACTGACGAAAAATAAAGTTATTTCTCGGTTCAAAAACAATGTAATGATAGATAAATTTAAAGACAAAAGAGACGTGTTATTCATTTCAAGTGAATACAAAGCAACGTTAAAAGAATATGAAAATAAATATAAACGAAATATTTTGCAACCAATTGCGTTGCATTACTACACAACTATATGAACGGGATAGATCACAAAGATCAGATGCTGTCTTACTATTCTTGCTCAAGGAGAATATTTAAATGATACATCAAATTATGGATTCATTTAGTTGAAACTTTGGTTTTTAATTCCTTCAATTTATACAAAACATACTCACCGACAATAAGAAAATTGAGTTTTAACGACTATCGTCTAGAGATTTTAAAAAACTTAATTGGAAAACCCCGAGACAGAAGATCGACAACACCAGAAACAAATGATCACCTACCTGGAATTTTACCAAGAAATAAAAATAGGAAAGTAAACAGAAAGATTTGCCGACAGTGCTACAAGGAAGGAAAATATAGACGTAGTAATTACTCTTGTCCTGCTTGTGTCGGTAATCCTGAATTATGTTTGGGAGAATGTTTCAAGCGCTACCATCAACCAACTAATGTATAATTACTTTACGATCAGTGTACTATTTCCTAAAAATGTATTTACAAATTATATTTTCTTTTTTATTATTGAGTTACATTATTGTATTATCTTTAGACATTTTTCTAAAAATTTATTTCTCGTTTATGTTATTTTTTTCATTATTCAACTTATTTTTTTTTAACTTTTTAGTACTTTTTAAAAATTTTTTTTGCATAATATTCTGTTCTTTATTGTTGAAAGCAAAATAACTATTTTATATTATCTAACTATTTTTGAAATAAATATTTATACATTTCTTAATGATGTATTTTCATTTTACCTTACATTGCACACATGGTGTTCAATCGGCTCCTCGCAATAAAAATTTTCCGAGGAGCGAGCTGCACACCCGGTGTGCAATGATCTTATTTATGTGAATTCACTTACGAATTAGGTGATTTCCATAGTAAACATGTTTTTTCATTAAAAATGAACAATATAAAGAAAAAAAAAATTTCGCTCCTGGGGACCGTGTTCGAAAAAAATCGTCGTCTCGAATGGGTTAACAGATAAATATTACCCATCATTCTATAAAATTATAAATAGCAAAAAAACGTTGTGAAACTCTGTAAGGTGCTCCAAAAATGATATAAAGAGATCACAGTACGAATGTAAAGATTGTGATATGTGATTCTGCGTCGTTCCTTGTTTTATCATATATAATTATACTGTTAATTAATAAAGTGTATTTCTTCTTATTAGTTTTTTGCGTATTTTTCAAACTTTTTACATAAAAATGCGTAAATAAATTATAATTTATTCCTTTATAACTCTACTTTGATTTAATGTTATAGTAAATAGCGCCATGCACAGTTTACGCGCAAGTTTTTTGGAAGCATGCTGTACAGAGATACAATCCCGCAGAATACAAATCCTATCGTAACTAAAAGTTTAAGAAATTACAGAAGGAAGAAGAGAGGAGGATTAATACCAGAAGGAAATATTGATATCATGAAATTTATAAAATGAAAATTTGCACACTCCATGTTTGAAATCTATACAAGTAAACGCAAATAATTCTAATTTCTCTCCACCTCATTAGCGAATAGAACGCGTATCAAATATATTGTGTTGTTCGGAAAATAATTTCGTTTTTAACCCAACAGAGATATTAGTTGTATTTCTAAGCTGCTAACTTCATGCTAAACTATATTGTTATTATATATTTTAATACCTAACATTTAAAGGAGTATTTGTAAACAATTCTGTTTGATTCTGTGCCGTTATTTTTTCTTGGTGTCCTATTAAAAATGAAAAAACAAAAGTTGCATTTTTGACATATTTTGCTTTTTTATTACCAAGAAGGTAAAAATGCTGTTCAAGCGAGGGAAAAGTTATGTGACATATATGGAGAAGATGCCTTAACGGGACCCCCAGTGCTCAAACTGATTTGAAAAACTTCGTTCTGGCAATATTGATATTGAAGATGCATCACGTTCTGGAAGGCCAATTGAAGCTGATAAAAACTAAAAATAAAGGTACTGCAAACTACCCAATAATAACACAAGACATCGCTACGAAATTAAATCTGTTGTATTCGACCATTTATAATTACGTAAAACGACTTGATTTTGTTTCAAAGATCGATATATGGGTTCCATATATTCTTATATAAAAAGATTGCTCCGTCGGATTATGATTTGCTTCTCAAAAAAATGATCCATTTCTAAAGCTAAATCATAACTGGAGACGAGAAATCATGGAGCAAAAGAGATGAGCTCGCTCAAAGTACTTCGAAAACACTAATTTGAACATTCTCACCATTGATAAGCCAATCTACTGGCCGCTAACTTATAATAAAACTCCTTATCTACTAGATTTTAACATCTTAAAAAATTTAAACTCATAAATTGAATCATGCTTAAAACTCAGCTCTGACCACTAACTTATAATAATTACATATTGGAACAGATCAATCGTTTATAAAAAGTCGTGAATCCTGTGTACTGAAAAAACAAATTAAATGCTATTCAAAAAAATCGTATAATTAGAACTGAACTGTAACATTCTACTAAGGACTCCTCTTCAAATTAAAGAAACAGTTAACAAAATAAAAATGTTATACAAAAGGCCGCATGAATAACAACCACACAAAATGATTCATCCAAAAGAACCCTGAATTATCCTGACAATATTTTCTAAACCAAAACAAAGATGACAAGACAAAGCTAGGTGGTAGAAAAATAAGACGAGAATAAACAAAAAACAATTAAACAAACTAATCAAAAAAGTAAACATAAACATACAAAATATCCAGAATAACAATATAACAATAACAAAAGATATTCTTTAAAGACCCCAGAAATCACTTTCACCAGTAACACAAGCAATAAGACACAAAATTCTTTGTGCAAAATAGTCAAAAAATGTAAAAGATCAATAATACCAATACCGGACATACGAAAACTCGACGGCTCATGACCAAAAATACAGAAGATTAAATAGAAACATTCACTGATCACATAGAAACAACACTTCACAAAGCACAAATTTATCCCGCTAGTCAATAATATTTATAGAAATACATCCTGCGAAGGCTTGAAATATATATCCTGAAGATATATATTAAGATAGGTAAAAAATTAAACAATATGAATTATATTAGATCTATGATCTTATAAAGAGAGACGTTGTCTCAATGGACATATTGTCCCCATGCTACTTTTCATATAGAAACAATTTACCTAATATCTATTACTGATAAATTGTAAAGAATATGGAATATAAAAAAAAAATTCTATACATTGCTTCGAATTACAAAGGGACTGCCTAACAAATCGCCAAAGAAGTGTAAACAAATGTAAAAAATCTGCATCATTCTGCAAAGAAGCAAGCATATTAAATACAAACAATTAAAGTAATAATCTCCTTTAATTTAGAAGCATAAAATTACCATTGAAGTTTGTACATGACCACGTTCACTGGATGAAAAAGTGAAGAAATGTAATTTTTTAAATTAACAAAATAAGATCTTAAGCTTATCTAATAAAAACAGGCATGCATAATATAAGAAAACAAGGAAAAAAGGCAATTAAAAATCCTAAAACAGAATTACTAATGGTCATGCTTGCCAATAACTTATTGGAAAAATTATAATCAGTAATTTATGTCGCTTCGAAACTTTGATTGCCAGCATAATGTAAGATTAGGAAGATATTCATTTAAATGTAACTTTCGAAAGAATAGTAGAAATAATACTTTAACAACTATATTATATAAATTATGTAATATATTATTATATATATATATTATAATTTGTATCATATATATAGTTATTTTGTATTCACTTTAATATTTTGTATCGTATATTGTATCGTATATATATTTATAAATTTAAATATTATAAAATTTGTAAGGTAAGTTAAAGCAGAGCAGAATAATTCAGTTTTACCAAGCATCGAATGTCAAGCAAATGAACAAGAGTAAGTTTGTATATTACGAAAGATAATAGACAAAAAGCATTTGTAGGTTTCCAAATACTTTGGCCTAAACCCAACTACAATAACAAATACTAAAGCGACTTGAATTTGTTCACTTACTACTTAAGAAGTTCTATGGTTCTGAGGTTCCAAAATACTCATTTGCGATGTGAATCGAAATTGACTTGAGAAGCAATGATTATCTGAAAAAAGATTACAAACCAAATTTATATGTTTTATATAAAGTAGGTATTTCTTCTTTAAATGAGGATGCTTTAAATAGACAAGTTACGAGCAGATATCGTATGCTTTCATATATACACTTACAATAAATTAATCTAGTACTAACTAGCAGCATGAGCAAAAACACAATTACTTATTTTAATATCTTAATAGTTTTTTAATAATTTAAACATATGTAATGACATTATATTTTGATTATGGAAATAATATTTTTTTTTTCACGTAAAATAACAGACATTTTACAAAAAAAATAAAAGATACGTGAAAATATCTTCATTTTTGAAAGAAATATGTTAATTTTAACAGATAACAGATACGATTAAAATCATATAGTTTTCCACATATTTTTGGACGGTATACGGAAAATTTATAAGGTATTAGAAAGATTAAACAATAACGCGATATCTCCGACTGGGGTATTAATCGTATCTTTACAATTTCCGTTTCTTGATATATCAATATATTAAGAATAGATAGTTAAAAGAATAGATTATCAGTGTTATTTTGCAGTGCAGTGAAAAGTTAATTATCTCCACTAGTATTAAACTTATTATAATAAAAAGAATTGCAAAATTACATTGGCTAAAAATTTCAATATTTACAAACTAATATTATTCTATAAAAGAAGTATGTTAGTATTTTGATCATCTTCCATGATGCACTAACTCTTTTACACAATAATTATTCATTAAATAAGGAGGCGGACAATAAATTGAATTCGTTAAAATCTATTGTTTGTTTTAAATGTAAATACAGATAACCGAAATAACAGTATAACACAAATATTCCATTCCATAAAAAAGACATTATATAAATTCCGTTATACGAGATACAGATCTAATACAACAGACGAAGTTAATTTCCGAAATTTTTCTAACATTGATTAAAAATTTTTTTATATCATATAAAAAGCAACTGACGTGACTAATAGGAATAATTTCTATCTCATCCATGTAACAAATAAGGTAACATACAAAAGAAATTTTAATTTCATGCACATAAAGCATAAATATTTTCAACAAAATAAAATAAAATAAGTGAAAAAATAAAAATCTAACAATTTCAATACCGTTTTATATCGTTATAAGGGGGTTACTTGTAAAGTTTGTGATTATAAAAAAGAAGTTAAATAAAACCTTATACGAACAAACATTGACTCTAAGATTGTTTTGCGCGCAATCTATTCAAATACACATATTCCTCAAAATTAATTGAAATCGCAAACCGTAAATAAATTTAAATAAACGTAAAAACTCTGTTAGCTTCACAATTCTTCTTTTACTTTATTGAAATAAGAATCGACTCATCCAAGGCTGCATGGACAACTGCAATAAGATCTGATATAAAACGAAAGCAATATTACTAGTATCATTATTATAATATAGAAAACTCCTTGAAAGAATATGTATGTTAAGTAAATAAAATGAGTTTACTTGAATTTTTATTAATAAAAACTAATTGAAATAAAAAAAAACAACACGAAATAATAAGGAATTAATAATTTTGGTTTATTTAATAATGATAATTATCCTAAAATAAAATAGAATAAAACTTTCAATGATATCAACAAGAAAATAATATTACTTATGTACCTCTATTTGTATTGTACTTGTATTGTACCTTGATCATTTTACTGGATAGTGAGAGGGAAGTCACCTTCCCTGTTTATCATGCGAAAACAAAACAACTTCCCTAAAAAATACCAAGCAAAATAGAACAATAGAAAGTTCGTCCTTAATGTATGTTCTTTTATTAGAATTTACTTGAAAATTTTAAAATCACACATTTAACTTAACTTTGGCTACATACGAAAAGCAGTGAAAAATAAACCTACGTTTCTACTGTACTGTGTATAGAGCCTCGTCGATTCGTATAATATCATGTATTATAAAATGAAAGTGTTTTACTAATATAAATCAAATATATAAATATATATATATATACATAAATACACAAGAATGTGCAAAATCAGGGTTTAGAGCAAACGATTGAAACAACTGATCTCACAAAATAATTTGAAGAGTATATATATGTATATATATATATATATATATATATATATGTATATATATAATAATGCTACTAACGGTCCGTTCGGCAACACAAAATCTTACAGAATGTCCTCTTTTTGCCTTTTCAAGTTTTTTTTCAATCGTAACTGTTTTACAAAACTTTTTTTCAATCGCAACATTCAGTCACCTGAATGCCTGAATGTCTATACAACGCGCTTGGCAATAACAATCCCGATATATGTATACCCGTATGTATGCGATTTAGAGGAAAGTCGAATATAATACATAATACATAATACAATCAATTGATTAAATAACCTAAAAATGATTGCATTAATCACTATTAAAACCCTAACAATGAATACACATTACAAATATAAGAGCTGAAAATCCAAAAACAATTACAACGCAATAAGCTCCACGAGGGACATGTCTAGATTACAATTTTATTTTCACGAATATATCTCAAATGCACTATTTATTCGACTTGCAAATGCTACACTATAGAAATCACATGTTTAGATATCGATTAGTATATTGGAAGAATCTGTAATTTAAAAGAAATAAAGTATATTTACCTGTAATTAGCAGAACGGCGAACTTCTTGGCAAATTGTACCAGTACGCACAATCTTAAGTGGTCTTGATAATAATAACAGTAGACGATGTCTGTGGATTTATCGTTGACAATCCACTATGTAGAGAGAAACTTTGCACATCAAGTAACAATTGTGATGTTTATTCAGCTTTGTTCGGTGTGTAGCAGGTATAATTAGACTGTGGCTTCCAGCAGTTATGACTGTTGTCTCTAGGAGAGTCGAAGAAAGAACAATGATTTTCTTTGTGTTTCCGGCGACTTTTTCGTCACTTTTGTTTATTGGTTTCCCGCGTATGCGCTTGATGGCGCCGAGACATGTTAGTTATGTGTCTTGCCAGAAGAGGCGTAACAAGTCCCACATATATAGCACCATCTTGTGAACATTTCGTAAAATAAACCAGGGCCGCCTTAATAATTTGCAAATCATATGCCTTTCCATCATATATATTTGACTCCTTCATTCAGTCCGCGAAAGAAATGGTACATCCTGTAAATTTTATAAAAGTTTAAAAAGACATCAAAATTATATAGCTTTTTATCCGTATACGTTTTCAGCTATGAAAGTGATTATATGTCAATTTATCTAAAAGTTGTGAATACGTTCCTAAAGCAACCATCCTCATCGCGTACATTTGTCACAACAAATGAATACATAAGAGCGAAAAATAAATCGAATAATAAATAAATTTATCTGCGTAATAAATTTCAATCTTTCTTATAAATATTTTGAAGAAATAGTATTTATCTGTATCTATTCATTTTTATTTAAAAACGTCTATTAATATAGAATTTATAATTGAAATGAAATATTACGAATCGATAGAAGTCGGAAATTATACGAAATCTTCGGACGATTACTAAGTAGAAGATAGTGAAGCGACAAATTTGCAACAAAGTAATAATTTTAAATAAATTAAAAAAATAATCGGACAATGAAGACTATTATATAAATCCTTCATTATATATATTTGTCTCGAAGATTATCGTCTTACTCTTTTGAAAGAAATTAAATCCTTTAAAATCCAATTCCTTTTTCGTATTTATAAACAAAATTATATATTGTATGAAAGTTATATAATATTATTTCTACTAGTACAATTATACTATATACTAATTATAAGTATTACTTACATTTACGTTTTCATATTATATATAAAAAAACTAAACAACAGAAAAAAAGAAAACTGGTTGTGTATCTACCACATAATGAAAGTGAAACTTCATTAGTTAATTTAATTTTATTTAATATAGTTTTTCAATTTTAATCTTCCTTGTTATTCCCATGTTCAGTTTCTCTATCAGCAAGTTTTAAAAGTAAAAAGATAGAGCAAGAGAGAGAGAGAGAGAGAGAGAGATTTTTAATAGTTATATACTATATTAAATATATTGAAAGTAACTTACTTATATAAAAGTATTGTTTTATTCTAATTCTATATGACGTAATCAACATACAGGCATCGGGACTGGAGGAATGATAATAAGAATTTGAAAAACAAAGGATGAATCAGGAAGATACTAGTAGGAAATGAGAAACAGAGAGATTGAGAAAGGTAAAGAAGCGAAAGCTTCATCCGCTCTCTTACGCTTAAGATAAACAATAGCTCGGAACTTATGCTCTGTTTCACTTTCTATCTCTCTCTCTCTCTATTCCTACTTCTGTATTCCTATTTCTTTTTATACTTTATCTCACTCTCTCTCCCTCTCTCTTCCTGTTTCTGTATATTTCTCTCTTCTTTTATTCTATGTCATTCTCCATAGTAACTATATTTAATTCGTATACATTAACTATGCTTTCAAAAATACAAACAATCTTAACATTATTGCTACGTGCTTTAACATCACTCTTTTTATTTCACACGTTGCAAAATAAATAACTAATAACCTTACAGAATATTTTTATTTATTTAATCAAACCTATGTTTTCTGTGAACCTATAATGTATATAAGAATATTCATTCCCTTTTCCACTAAAAAAAGCATTTTCAATAAAATAAACATTTTATTTTTAAAAACTTTTGAATCTTTTTCTTACAAATCAAGTGCCGTTTATTAATTGGATGTAATATGTGATCGTTTTAACTTATATTAGAAAAACAATTGTATACAAATTAGTAGATTCCTGGGCATATTTAATAAAATTAACACTAAGACTTTTTCATCTCTTGATTTCCAAGTATTCTGATTATCTTGTGTCAGAAAATTTATTCCATTTATATACAACCACAATTTGTTGCAAATGAGGACGTTTTTTATTTGCAGCTTCCAGGTTTATAATTCGTATCGCTTAAAGCTTTTTAACTTGATGCGTTGAAGCATAATAGCCATGTTCTTTTTAATCTTTTTATTCCACAATGTAAAATATATTCTTATGCGTTTCCTTCCTTTATTTTAATTCGACGGCACATTTGAGCCCATAATCTATCGGATTATGACAAAAAAATGATTGTATGTGATGGAGTAACAATTAAAAATTTGTAAGTAATGTGAAAAAATTACATAACTTAATGTGATACATGATTTCGTTGCCAAAATCATCAACTAACAATGTCATGATAATAATATTAGACATAGACATGCATATGACATATGAATATTATAGAGTGCTTTGATATGTGCTTTTGCATCTTAAATTGATTTGCAACAAAAAAGAAACTACAGTTGGTCGCCACGTATTCGTATTAGTCACGTCATTAAAATCTTGTTTGTCACTCTAGGAACGAATTATTTTTAGATTCTTGACAACAGGTAAATATAACAAATTTTTAAATTAAATGAATATAAATACATTAAACAATTAAACAATGTTAAATATATATATATAATAACTCAATTATCACCTTGTAATAAACTCTAAGCCTAAAGTACAAATAAATGAATAAATAAAATAAGAGAAAATAAATATTATTCGTTTAATATAAATATATGCAATAAAAAAATTTAGTATTTGAGATGATCTAGAATTACTCCATGACGAGGCTGATGGTGTAGAATTATATAAAATATTCAGTACCCAATGATATAATTTCCAACACTGTCAATTCATTTTCATTTGCTTTTATAGTTCCAGTTGCATTTGGTATTATTTTTTTTCTATTTTCTTAAATGTGAAAAACCAATATTTAACTTAACATAGATTTATTATCATTGTTTTTTATAGATTCTAAAACCATCTAAGAATTCGAAGAAACATTCACAGATATTTGAAGAAAATTGTAATTTTCCTCAATATGTAGGAGAATCAGATGGAAAACACATAGCTATAAAAACTTCTCCAAGTACTACAAGCTACTAATATAATTAGAAAGAATTCAATGGTATAGAACTAATGGCTTTCTTGACGTAAATCATGTGTAAATCTTGAAGTAATCTAATGAAAAAGTTTCTAATAGAAATGTATCCAAGAATAGTACTTTATTTGATACTTTATTAAAGAATTCACAAAATTTTCCTCCTGTAGAACATTTCACCGAACATACGAAATCTTTACTCCATGCCATTGTTGCTGATGATGTATTTACCATGAAAACTTATCTATTATTATACTCTTTTTGTATAATAACCTGCACCGAATTGTGTATTTAATTATCATTTCTTGAGAGCTAGACAAATTGTAGAAAACATATTTGATCTTATTATTAATCTATTTTGTATATCAAGTAAACCACTAGAACTTTTTACAAAAAAACTATTTTTAATGTTAACATTATACGTATAACACGATTTTCTTCTGACACAAGAAAATAAATTGTATGCAATACCAAGTACTTTTGATAGAGATGAGGAGCATGGGGAATGGAGAATTTTTGAAATGACAAAATCGTACTTATTAGAATTACAACGAGAACAAGCACATAAATATACAGAAATTTTTGAAATTGTACAAAACAAATTTAGTAACTATTTTGTTTCCTACATGTAGAAATACATTAAGAATAATGTATATTAATATATGATATAACAAGATAAACATATATAAAAATATTGAATAAACTTTATAAATGGTGTATATATAAATAAAAATTCTTATATTATTATGTATGCTTATATACTCATTATTATATTCTATTATGCATATATTCTCATATATGTTTATGTATGCTTTATTTACCAAATTGTTAGAGTTCTTTCATCTGAGTCTTTTTCATGAATAAACATTACGGCATAGAAATAATTTCGATTATTCGAATATATATCATCCATCGTATTATCGCTATATTTTACTTATATTTTTCTCAATTCCCGATAGAAATGTGTATGTAAATTGTGTAATTACATTTTCACTGATATTAAATTCACTCGAAAGATTATTTAAGACATTCCGTTTTTGTATTTTACTCCGATAATTTTTGCTTTTTATATCCCAAAATTCGGAAAAATTTATCCACTACGAAATCAATCTAAGTATCCCTTCCTTCGCTCAACACATTTTTTCCATTATCTTTAGCACACGAGTTCTTACAAAATATTTGGGACATCGTTGGAAGTTAGAAATAACTATGCGAAAGAAGAAAAAACTGTTTACACTACTCGTTGTTTCGCTATCTGAAAGCAATTATGGCAATCAGTTCAACTTACCAGTTATTATTTTAGATGTGTTCACACATGTTTACACATATTCTGTTACACATGTCACAAAAGTTTCTCTTGCAAGAAATGTTGCATATTACTTGCTAGTGCATCTGCGACATATCCGTTGCCGTATCAAAGATAGAAAAAAGGGAAAAAATCTAAAAGTAGTCGTTTAGTAATACAGTAAAGTATAATAGTAGTAGTAGTAGTAGTAATAGTAATTATGTTAGGTTTAGATTAGGTTAGAAATACGACGACGTATCATAATATAATTAATGTAACATGACGCACATGACGTAGTAGAGTAGAAGTTTTATGTGTTGTATCTTTCAACATATTTTCTAAGGTTTCTAATTTCACCATATAAAGTTTGTTAAATTTTGTTATGGAGATAAGATTTTATTCTTGCAAAATTTAAGTTCCTTATAAAGTCAAATCGCTTTATATTTTTTTAATTTTTGAAACACAAATATAGAAGATATGCATTTATTGCAGAAATGTTTATCATTATGAAAAAAATTGCCAGTGTCCACCAATGACTTCACTTACATGAATAATTGACGATATATATATATATACATGTAAAGAAAGTATACTTTCTTCAGGTAGATTTGCCGCGCGTTTCATAGCCCCCCCTTCCATTGTCCTTTATTATTTACAATTTCTTTTGTGACATACAAATCGAGTCGTTAAGATTTGGAAGAGAAACGGGCAGTATGAAATATAACAGAAGAGAAAAGTAACACAAAGAGCTATAAGAAAATTTATAATATATAATATTAAATAAAATTTAACAATGTGAATAATAAACGTAAATTGTTGTTTCTTTCTTCACGGGTAAGACTAATTAGAAACTAAGCATTAATTAACAAATAAAGATTTATCATTTTGTTCACAGAGAAACATATTTTCGTTTATCACCTCCCATAAGCAATCCGAGATATTATATATATACATATATATATCCATTCTTATATATATATATATATATATATATATATATATATATATATATATATATATATATATATATCTATTCAGTAACAAAATGCAACTAAGCCAAAGTTGATTTAACATCTGTATTGTTAAGAAGGTACAGGAAAACAATTTATGAAGTGTTTAGAAATCAGTTTTCCTTGAATGTTCAATTACATTTATTTAAATAATTTTAATTGAAATGTTATGTACACATATTATTTAATATTACTGATATAATATTGATATAGACAAAAATTTGTATTTCATGAATGTTTAAATCATTAAAATTTCTTTCAAATTTCTTTTTGTAGACCGTTATCGAAGTATATACAAAATTATTAAATATAGTTTTAGGATACAGTCAAGAACAGGGGGTTAACGTAACTCTTTTTACATTATGCTTATATTGATATATATATATATATATATATATATATATATATATATATATATATATATATATATAAGCAATACACAGAACAGAAATTCGATAGAATGTTTCTTGGAAATATTGGTTGTCTGTTCTTGCCCTTTTTGCTAATCTCATCACTGATGAAGAAATAAGATTTAAAATATATAAATTACAATCACATAAATTATTATATGTGCAAATAGCTTAAAATGAAGCAAAATATTGCAACCTGATTATACTAACACAATTACTTAATCATAACTGTTCAAATTTTATAGCCAATTACTACTGCATAATTCAATGATACCAACGAAGTGTGTTATTTATTAATGATCAAAATATAATTCATGACAGTAAGAAAGATTGTTGAGAAAACTATCAAAATTCGGAAATGTACATTTTCATCCTTATCACAAAGTCCTTCAAATCAAATTATTAAGCTCCACATTAATTGTTACAGAATGTACGATGATTTCCATATTCTCTGGATACATTAGAAAAATATTAACGATACATTTGAAAGAAAAGAAGTATAAAATATGAACAATTATTAATACCTAATTGGCAACTTGGAGATAGTTTTTTTGATGAGAAACATTCTGATTGTAAAATTGTTCAGATAATAGTTCATTTTATTTGTAATAATTATAAATATAAAAAAAATCTGAAATTGATAAACATGTTGCTATAATTTTTTTGCGGTCATTATATGTGTACATGCACATTTTTCGAGAATTTAAAATTGACATTGTTTTTACCTCTTAAAAAATTAATGCAGAGTCATTATATCTACTGTAAAACTTTATGAATTTTTAAATATTTATGAAGATGTCGGAGTATATTTTATTAGTGCGTTTCATACATATGTATATGTAATAATACTATTATATTATCAGTTCCCATGAATAGAAGTGGTAGTAAAAGAAAAGTAACAGAAAGATTTACTTTGTCCATTGTAAACAGGATTTTTACACAGGCAATTACTTTATCTCCATATGTGTTTTAGCCATATATATAGTGCTATATTGCCAGTCCCCATAAATGAAAGGATTGTGAATTAAGCGAAACAAGAATTCACTTAGTCAATTGGTCGCAAAATGTTATATGCAAAAAATTTAATATAAAGTTGAATTATACAAATGTTGTGGACACAGCTATGAGCAGAATAGAACATAGAATATAAATAAAATTGTAAGCTGTACTTATGTAGAAATGGTTTTTTATAATTGAATAAGTTATTAAATATTATAAAATATATTAAACTAGCTTTGGAAATAATTTATTAATAATAAGTAATAGTAAAGCAATTTAATAAAAATAATAATAGATAAATAGTATTCAAAGAATATAAAATTAAAAATAAAAATTGGACTATAAAATTATATTCTTTTATAAAAATATTAGGCAGCCATTAATTATAGATTAAACAAAATAAAAAATAAAAATAATACGATTACCAAATATAATTGACATTTTATTTATTATATCCTATGGCGTAATTATAATAATGTAAAAATAGTCAGTTTTTTATCAAGTCGTGAAGCCTTTACTAGAGGTTCATCTTAAAAAACTTAAATTCGATCTGATAGATAAATAAATTAGAAAAAGAATGAGGCAGTAGACAGAGTATTAGAATAAATTTTACAAGCTTCTATAAGTAGTGTGCGTACAAGTTCGGCTCCACGTACCAATGAGTTAGTTGGACAATGTTCAGTAAGAGAATAGAGAGCTGGTTGTAGACTCATTGATTTTTTAATAAAATCTTACAAATTTATTAGATTCTTTATTAAATTCAATATACAGATTTATTAACTGACCTATGAACAGTCTCACAAAATGAAAAATATGGACTTATTACTTACTAATTACTCATTATTCTTATTGGTTAATGATTTTACAGATTGCGAAATGAGGACTTATTAACTAATTACCAACTTACCTAATGGCTAAATACAAAATTCGGGCCGAAGAATTAATCATGGATTTACTAGATCTCTAATTTTTAGGTACTACAGAATCACAAATACTGGAGAGACTTTCCAGATTTTCTCTGAAAAGTCTCTTCTGGTTTTCTCCCCTTCAGATGCATCTAGCTGATTACTTATGAAATTTACCCAGGATAAAAAGTTTGCTTCCTACAGGATGACAATATTATTTTTAAGATTCTGGTCTATATTTTCACAAGAATTCTACTACATCAAAAAGCAAGATCTGGCTAACACCGAGATTTACAGACTTTGTCAAAAAACATATTTACAAGGAAAGATAGCAGAGATCTAAACTGCTTTATGTCTGAGGAGGTGAGAGTTGGATGCATGACTAATTTAAGGGTGTAATAGTTATAAAGTGTTCACAACATTGTAGCAGGAAAGTGAGAATTTTCTGAAAATGTTAAAAGGCATCGATTTACTTCCTATTCTAAGATAGTCCTATGCATTATACTATAGACAGCATACATACTATAGACTGGTATAATGGAGAACAAAGTTTCTTAACAAAAACACGTAAATTTTCTTTAATGCTAACTCATATCTCTTTATCAAACATAGTTGTCTTATAAAAAAATGCCCTCTTTAAGCATTGCGCTGTATATCTATGATGATCTAATATAGTAATGAGATGTATTAATCATATAATCGTAAGTAATATTCGATAAGAAATTAAAAATGCTCTGGATTCTCATATTTCTTCGGTACCAAAAGTAAAATAATAAAAATTAAATCGAAATCATAATTTTAAATAAGATTTTCTTGCAAAATTTTATATTATCAATTAACAAAATATACCATTTATATATTTCAGAAAATTTCGATTCTTCAATTAAATTAATCGGACATATAATTATATATTTATTATTCACGCTTACGATATAACATCGAAACTATATGATATCGATATCTAGAGCTCAGAAGGATATAAGTCAAGCTTGTAAATTCAACGAGTATCCAAATGGTAGCCAGAAAATCCGCTTAAAAATTTTTTAAAAAACTACAAGAATAATAAAATGATATTGTTTTAATAAAAATTGATTATTCGTTTTTCTACCTTTCTAAAAAATGTTTGTGACGTGATGGTTAATTTTAAACCTAATTCTTAGCATACTCTTAACTTCATTTATTTTGTTTAAATTCTTTGATCTTATCAGTTAATTATCAACGTCGTTATAATATTATAGTAATATCGTTGTTCATATTTGAATCTACACATGAATTAATTGCATTTTTCTTGAAATGTATAATTATAAAATGATTATCAAATATTTACTTAGTAAAAACCTACTAAATGCCATTCTCTATCTGTCTGTTTTAGTCTATATAATGGTTTATTTAGTTTACAAATTTTTTTTTCTTGGGAGATTTCTTCAAACTTTTTTGCTTCGATTATGTATATATTGTTAGATAAATAGCCTTGAACATATACTTGGTGCACAAATATTGTCTTTTCGAAACAACATGCCAGATTATAACGTTTTTATACTTACTAACTTTTGTAAAAAGCTTAGCTTAATAGACTTCTTTTCCTTCTTAATCTCCATGTGCAACTAATCTCCGAATTTTTCCAGTGATCTGTCCTATTTTCTCAAATTTATTCATTAAACTTTTTTATCTTTTCGTTTAATCATCAAGGTGTATGTGTTGTTTTCTAAGAAGCTATCATATTTTCCTCTCGTCGCTTCTAATCAGAATTTTTTTAACTATCCATTGCTTCTTGCAGACTGGTTGGTATATTGTATCGCCATATACTTCCTCTATTGTTTTGTAAAGCTATTTTGATCGATATAATTTTCCAGTTCTTTCAATATTTAATCGTCCAGAATATCTTTTAATGGAAGTGGTCTCTAATAATATATTTCTATGATGTTCGTATTTTCTTGTTGCATCAATTTATTCAAAGGTACTTTAAAAATTGTATTTTTATTTTATGAATATGTTTTCTCGTCTATCGAGATTTGTATATCTTTTTGTTTGCTTTAGTCATCCAGCTATGTCGTCAACAAACAAATTTGTTATGTACTAACGATTACGAGTCCTGATTGTATCTGACCCTTACAACTTTTTCTTTGATAACACTGAACTTACACATTTGTAAAAAATGGGACAAAAAAGTCTTTGGCGTAAAGGTTTTAAAGGATTATCTCATGTATCGACTAATTTCCATTTTTTTTGGCCGAATATCCTTCGCGCACTTTATATCGATTTAAAGAAAAAATTCTGATAAGCATCACATGAATTAAATATTATTAGATACTATATTGTCATGAATTTTCGTTGATAGTGATTTTGTAAAGGAAAAAAAAATATCTATATACATATATATATATACTTTCTTCAGGTAGATTTGTCGCGCGTTTCATGACCCGCCCTTCCATTGTCCTTTGTTATTTACAAATTCTTTTTGTTACCTACAAATCGAGCCGTTAAGATTTGGAAGAGAAACGAACAGTAAGTAATAGAACGTAGAAAAAAAGTTAGCACGAGAGATTATGCGGATATTCATAATAGATAATAAATAGTAAATAAAATTTAAATAACGTGAATAATAAACGTAAATTGTCGTTTCTTTCTTCACAGGTAAGACTAATTAGCATTAATTAACAAATAAAGATTTATTACTTTGTTCACAGAGAAACATATTTTCGTTTATCACCTCACACAATTAATCCGATATATATATATATGTATAAAGCATCATCAAAATAAGGGGATAAAGATAAACGCAGATATACTGGAATAATTATAGAATTATAAAATTTGCTAGAACTTTGCGTTATACCCGGAGACAGAACTTTGCACTCCATTCTAAATTACAACATTCATCCGGTCCTACCTGCTTGAAATTAAATATTCGACCACACAGAATAACGTGTACTACTTGCCTACCTATAATCTGTATTTAAAAAATAGCAAGAAGATCATTCCTATACACACACTCCATGACTATCTCTCATACCACCAGAGTGCGAAAACAAATAGGAAATATGCCCCGAGGCACTTGCGATACCCTAACTCAAGCATGTAAGATTCTTAATTAATAAGGAGTACGTACCAATTGCTATAATCGATTGTCAAGGCTAATGATTATTACGTAAATGACTAAAGCAAAAAGTACCAGTACATGCTACAATAGAATACATGCGCACTAGTAATATACGAGTATTTCCATGCAATATGTTGTAAATCTACTACACAAAACGATATAAATGATAATATATTAGTATAGTAGTAGCACAAAGTATGAATTAAAATGATGAAACAAGAAGATCCTATCCTGAGCTAATAAAAATAAGAATGCACAATTGATATAGACAATTAAAAATATGCCACCTGCGAATAAATCCAAAAGAGGAATTGCATATGGTCATGCTCGTCAATAACTTATTTAAAAAATTATAATCAGTAACTTGCGCTGATTCGACCCTTCCACCATCATGGCATGATTGAGCACTGAAGGTATTTTAATTTTGTTCACTCACTATTTAAGAAGTTCTACGATGGTTCCAAAACACTCGTCCACGATGGAAGTAAAAATTAAAGGAATATGGATCCATAGAAAGTTGAAAACAATGTAGTTTGATATATAAGTAAGTTAAAAATGAAGCTTAATTTCATTGTAGGCTGATAAGACACGATCATAATGATGATCAGTAAAAAGACAAACAAATTTTTATTAAATTTAAATTAATAGAAAAACTGTGAAATTATTAGGTATGAAATTTAAAAATTCACTTACCAATATTTTTTTATAAAAGAAAATGTATTTATCATTCGATTATCTTTATTGATGCACTGACTGTACTATGCGAATAGTGTGACAGTATGAAAAGAAAAATAATTTTAAACTTTACAGGAACAAATCATAACTGTGACTGACTGCTTTGCTCCCAGTACATTTAACTGCATATGATACTAAATCTTAAATCGCGAAATATGGACGAAATTAAATTAACGAACAAAGGATCCTTCTAATTCAGGATTATTATATTATTTAACCTATACAACACTATCATGGTTGCATTGATTATCTGAAAAAAGAAAGAAAAATAAAGTTATTAGTATAATAACTTTGTTCTTCTTAATAATGAAAGATTTTTTGAATTATGAAGAAAATGTTCAAAAAAGAAATTTACTTACTGTAGTCTTTGCTGATCCTTTGCACGATAAGCATCCTACCTCAGAACGATGACAAATGATTTTTCTTTTATTGAACCTGAAAAAAGGAAACAAAATTATTAGTATCATTGTTATATAATAAAAAATTATTAAAATTATTAAAGAACTGTCTACAAACAAATTTACTTATCAGTTTTTGTTGATCTTTTGCACGATGACCTTCCTGTTCTAGGATCATGAAGAATATGTATCAACACTGACTCCACATCGCGAATTTATATTGCATCTAATTTTATTTAATCAGATTATTTTTAAAATAAATCATACGGATTACGAATAAACACTGCTTCTACTTCATATATTAAACTATATATATATATAATATATATATATATACACGAATACTGAATTTAATACATCGATCGATCACAATTATAAACACAAAATCATTAATCAGTGTAAAAGCGAGAAAAATATTAATATTATAAAAATAAAGCTAGAAAATAGAAGACGAAAAAGTGCGCAAAATATCGCGCATTCCGTTATCAACTGATATATTGGAATGTATGTTAGAAAAAAATCTACTAATTATCTGTAACTATGCAAAGCGACAAGTTTAAACTCCGTGTAAACTCGTTATATCTTCCAAGATGGCGAAGGAACCTCTAATAAGAAACAGAAATCACTCCTATAATTTGATTACGTCACATTATTGCGGATACAACGCGAGTCAATGAAAATATTATTATTATATTCATTTAGTTAAAAACAATAAAAATATATAATAAAAATATGTGAAAGTATCAATTGTAATTAATTCGATTTTAAATATAAACAAAAATTTTCTTTCCTAATTAAATTTTAATATAAATAAAGAAATATAAAATAGACTCACACATGAGTAAAAGCGTATGCAGTACATCCGTATACTTTCTATATTACGCGCGAAATAATGAATAATTAATAAATCCAATAATTGGAATGATTTATCTATTTACGTATTTCTCTATTTATCCACATCTATAATACGTTTCTACATGTATTTGGGGAAGAATAATACTTTGTCGAATTTTTATTTATAAATATTGAATAATAGGTTATTTATAATTATAGTGATGTGTATCATAATTTGGTAATAATCAGATGGGAAATGTTCGATTTTCGAAAAAGAGAAAATATATATACGCAAGCAACCACACACACATATACAAATATGTAAACGTGAAATGTTCAAAATTTATATTCTCGTCGTAACAACTTAGAGAATTGAAAATAATTATAGGGAAAATAATTATACGCGGACGAATGAACATTTTCCATATATATTTTGTCTTCATGTTTAAGAGCTTTATTTCTACAGGTATCAAATTAAATTGATTAATTTTCTCATTTAGTTTGGACTGACAAGGCATCCGTTTAGACAGTTTATAAATTCCTGCATCATATTTTTAATGTTTCGATATTTTAATATAATAAATCGAAAAATTACAAACTTTGTGAGGTCTATTGAACAAATGACATAATTCGCATGAGGAACGATCCAATTAATTTCTTTGAATTTACGATGAATTAATCAGTTTGTAAAACTTTGTGATACAGGTTGCAACCAAGTCTCGTCGACTTGTTAATTGTAGGTAATTAGAAATTTTTTCAATTATACATTTATTTTATATATTAATCAATTGTTAAATAGACGACTTTCGCGCGTTAATGTTGACATGACATGGCATCATTTCGTTTAACGAATATCTGCGAAAGGAAAATCGGCGTCTCGGCGTTTCCTGGTGTTTCTATTTTGAATTATCTAGTCTTATATTTGCAGTGTCAGTACTTGTTTTACTTTTGACGTTTTTATTATTTTTATAAAAAATTAGTGGAAAATCGTCGTACACCAAATCATGGCTTTTTGTAAGTAATGCTATTTTTTCATCGGGCTAATGCTTTATTTTTATCTCGTTTTTAAACGTAAGTAACTAGTCTTAGGGAATAAGGATGACGATATCTATATGATAGGTTTTGTGAAATTTTGACGAAAGCTTTTTCTATTTACTGTTATTTTATTTCTGTCAGTTCTTTTCCTGTCAAATATGTAATATCATGCGGAAGATGCAATCTGTTTTCATTGGAGAGGTTTCTCCTAAATTCTTAAGTAGTAATTTCTTAGCTCACCTTTTTTATTAACGCGAAGTATGTTGCGTGACAACTAAGTCGAATTATTGTATTTATAAGATAAGTGAACTTGGCAAAGTTTAAATGTGAAGTTAAAATATATCTAAGATAATTGATAGAACGAAGAGAATACGTACAATTTTTCGATTTTTCTTTCTGATCTTATGTTTAATTCAAATATATGTGTTCTTATACGATTCTCGTGATTGGCTAATTTTTAGCGCTGATGAAGAACGTTGAGTAGTTAGTAATTGGTTTTTAGGAGTACATTGGTTAGACAGGTGCATATTTAAACATTGAGCTCGTTGATTGGACAGTAGTTGCGGGTTAATAGGATAATGTTGTTTGATCGATCTTATGAAATAATATTTGTGTCTGGTGTATTTTGTCGGAACGAATTCATTTCATTCATATAGGAAGATTTAGCTGTATTTAAAAATAAAAATTTGAGAAATAGGGTTTACGATATTGCGAGGTAAGATGTGATTTAAGCTTTCATGTGGCCGAGTGAGAATACTTTTCTGTTTTTTTCCGCTCCTAGTTCCTTTTTTAGGAATGTTTGCAGTTTCTAGTATTTAACCGGCTTTGTTAATGATTCGAAATGAAAATGTGGAGAGGTTTAAATTTTTTCGCCAATGACATAAACGGTAATGATCTTAAATGGGTTCGACATATATTCATTTTCATTTATAAGAGAAAAATCTTGTTGAATTGTGCGAGCGAAATTATAATATTCATTAGTACATTATCTTTCCTTCATACTAGCTTCTTTTTTAAGCAATCAAAAGAACGGTTTTTATGATTTTTTGATCTTTTGAAATTATACAATATGTGAGATTTAATAAAAGTTTAATAAAAGATTAAAAAAGAAAAAAAAGAAATAAAGAAAAAAAACTTGTCCAATTCAAACACACTTTTTCGTAATTACGCTTATACTCTCCAAAACCGTAAATCTATGTTTTCTACAAATGCAAACCTGGTGAATTAGTGGCGCTGTTGTCAATAAACGTGTAAGGTTAAATTAGTTTAACATTATATTTAATGCTTATTTAAAAAGTAGATTGATAGGTGCGTTTGATCCTATAATTTTTTAACTGATATGCTTTCGTTGTCTATAACAAAAATGTTGAGTTAATATCAATTTACAGAAAATCATTTGCATAACCATACTATCTACATATATATCATAAAATGATATTTTACTCATGTGTTTGTTGTGAATTATTCGATATCAACGATACACTATTTTTCTATTAACTGCAAGGTAATTCTTCATTTTTAAATTATTATAAATAACTTTAGTAAAAAAATTGTATTTTACATTACTATATATTTTTTTTCTTTCAGTCATTTTCTTTTTATATTATTGGTAATATTGATCATCATTAAAGATAATAAATATAAAAACCGTAGGTCGTTTTTTTTCAGGGAATCATTACTAATTAATCCATCCAAAGGAAAGGGTAATGTCGTCGTTGAATTTAAAAGAGATTTCAACGCCACGTTTAGGTTATCTATTAAACAGAATTACAAGAAGCAAATGATTCTATCAAACATTTAAAAAGTTGGTTGAAGGACATTATGAACAGGTCCAGTTAATATATTGGAGAGTAAATATGAAGGAAGCAATTAAACGAAGTAATAAGGCAAAAAAAATAGTGATAGGCTGTAATCACAAGGGAAAGACTTTTTGGAATATTTATATCTACAGTTATTGATTTCTTTGTCAGTAAGTATGAAAACATTGATAAAAAGTAATTATAGCTGTAAGTTGATTTAGTCTTCAAGTTACTTGAGACGTAAAATTTGCTCGTATTAAAATAAATCAATTTTACTTTAATAAAATTTTCTTCCTTTAATTGTTTATATATATGATGTGGCAAAAAATACTCTTACTGGATCATAGGAAGAAATATAGATATAAAATTTATTTATCGACCGACAAATATTTACCTAAATTTATTATGTAACATAAACTTAGTTAATTGCGTGAGGGTACTGTTTTACAGGACCTATGCCATTGTTTCTATCACCTGTGCATAGATCCATCATTATATATTGTCATGTCACTACATTCATTATATTATTTATTTGTAGAGTACTCTGATCATAGCAATGTTAAATATTTGGATCCCAAAAAGACACCATAATACAAAAATGTATTGACAAAAATAATATAAAGTAAAGGAAATGTTTCTACAAGGAATATTTTGGGAATGCTTCTGTGACCATTATTTGTGTTGAGACGCATATATATCACACAAGTAAGTACATACTATATATTTCTAATAGAGATAGAGGATAGTTTCTTCTTTATGCTCTTGAATCATAACCAAATTTAAATGTTGCAGACATTTTTTACTTTTGCTTATATTCACGCACTTTCTTATATTATAAAATGAGTTGCAGTGAAATCAAAATGTATTCAAATCTATCATTGCGCAAGGTGGTACACTCTTCGAGAAACAGAAGTATTTTTTAAAGTAGTTGAATATGCACCTGTCTTATGAAAATTTAGCATTTATTATAGGTTTCTTCTATCAGGTGCAAATTTATTTTGAATTGATATTTTGCTTTGTACATTGTACTTTATTGGTCATTTCATGTCCATTGAGCAATTGACATCCGGAAATCTTACGGCATTTTTGATGCCAACATAGGTAGTTCAAAGGTTCTCTCTCTAGTATTTTGTTATTCTTACTTACAAAATTTTATATAAATTGCTAATAATTGTATGTGAATTTTATTTTATAGTACTTAAGTATGCTATCATTGCCAATGATGGTGGGAGAAAAGACATTAATACATTAGGAAAACTCTTAAAAGATCTGAAGAAAGCATTATCTACAGTCAAGGACGTGAATTATTTAGAAAACGAATTAAAAGAGAAAATCCAAAACCATAAAGGATCGGTAATTTTATAAGCTCGTATAAATAAGAGATAGATGCCAAAAAATAAAATAGATTAAGTAAACTACCTGGAAATATAACATTTTAGAGGAAGAATCGAATCTTAACAGCAAAATCATGGAGAAAGAACAATGAGTTAAAGGATCATTCACAAGACGTTTTTCTTCAGAGGTAGCTTCTCATGTTGTATTGCAAAAAAAAAAAAATAGAAAATTTTCAATATTTAGAAGATCATCCTCAAATTGTCGACCATGAATTGCACAAGTAAAAATTAATGCGCAAAAATTACATGAGCATAATGTAATCCTTTAATGCATAAGTATACTTTGAAAATGAAGTAGAAGAATACTGTGAATTTCACAGTCATATTGACAAGACGTTGAAAAGGAGCCGCCTGAAGAAAACAAAGTATGGAAATGGAATAAAGGATTCAGACCAAATAATCTGGATTTAGACCATCGAAGAAAAGAGCCTTCAACAATACGGAACAAGCAACAAGGATGTTACACAAAAGCGAGCCTCTTGTGAAAGTCAAATTTAGTAGGTACAAATGATACGTCAGCTTACATACTGCAATGGAATATTCTAAGATATACACATCAATAAAGAAGTAAGAAGTAACGTTTTATATCAAAAATCAAGCTCGGAATTGCGACAAATAGAAACACTGAATAAAATAAGCATTAAATCACAGTTTTAAGATAATCGAAAGGATGAAACTATTACATATATGTAATCTAATATTCGATCACCGATCTAACGAAATAATGATGAAACGCAGAATGGTACCATGAAAAAGGATAATCTGCAACAGCATAGTAATAACACAAACGCATTCTAGTAAAATCACTTGTCAGCTGATTTCTTTTTAAACGTAATGGTTAGTGAAATAATAATCGAAAAAAAGAAAGTTACTCAAAATTCACTTTTAGATTGCAATTAACAAGTAGGTAATATACTTTGATATGAATTTTAAATAAGCTAAACTTTTCATAAAGCTCACATCAGAAGATCCGAACATCTGAAAATTTCTGATAGTTTTATAGACCACCATCAAAAAATTTTTAGGATTGTATTCTTTCGGATCAATTATATCAATTACGCTGGGTGGACTTTAATCTATTAATCTATTGAGCCAAAGAATGTACAATATTATAGTAAGAGGAGTATGAATTACCGACAAGAATCAATATAGAAATCTTTAATATCGACGTATGAGAATCGGAAGTGTAAACTAAATGCTGACGTCATATATATCAACGGAGCAAACGGAGAAAAATCTAGATGACTCACAGCGGACGTGAACATGACTGAAAGGATCACCCTGTTGACTACAGGTTCGGTGTAGTAGGGACAGATTTTCGAACCCATTTGTCGTTGGCATGATTGAAAGATCGAAGAAATTGAAAAATTCACCCATCGCTTAGAAAAATTCTGCGATGGTCCTCTAACACGCCTACTTCACAGCTACTACGGTAGTCACGCGAATAATGAACTCCATGATATTTCTTTTTATAAAGAAACAAGTAAGCAAAAAATAAAATGCACGCTGAGCTCTCTTCGATTTCAATTATGTTGATCTTTGCATAGTGAAAATAATGTGCCGGAATAACAAACTCTTAAAGTACAACAGAATAATGGCTCAATTGCTTTTACATGAAAACGAACACAAAAGCAATATATCATCTCTATGCAAGCAATATAGCATAATATCATCATTATAATAAAAAATTATGAAAACTATTTAAGAAATATTTAAAAGAGCAAATTATCTATCATGTAAAACAACCTTCTGACAGAAAAATTACTATTATAAGTAATTTGCTCATATGAGCTATTGTATTTATATTATTAAATACATTACAAGTCTTGATTAACATTCTTGAAAGTAGCACATTAAAAAGAATAATATTCGAAAGTATTAATCATAGATAATATATTATATTTTTCATTTAATCAAATTAATAAAAACAAATTATAAGTTTGTAATATGCCAAAGTATATTATCATCGAGACATCATTATATTTTGATTAGTAAATCTCATATCAAATCGAAAAATGAGTGAGTGTTATTGCACATAAAATTTATTTTCACATAATCGATGGATTATTACTCCGCAAAAGAAACAATGAATGAACAATAACTTTCACAACAATTTACTTCTTACCTTTTACTGCTTTACATATCTCATGTGTTTCTCTCACTCTCTCTACCTGTATCTATTTAATTGATCTAATGATAATCGATTAACTCACATTAAAGCATGATTAAATTAATTTTACGAACATCAATAATTGCTACAATAATATAAAATTGATAGTAAGTGAAACTTTTAAAAAATTTCCCGATTCCCCATAAGAAAAAAGATAATAAATAAAAATAGAATAAAATGGAAAGAATCATGACCAATTTTAGCGAAAGCTGCTGAAAACTTTTAAGTGCGATCACTTAATCATAATATAATTTAACTTATAAGACCGATACATCAACGGCACGATCTACTTATAAGACCGAAACTGATTTCCTTGCGTCGAATACTCCTTCGAATGCACATCGACAAGATTATAAGCCTCAAACGATTCGATCTATCAACGTAAAACGATGTTTACATTTCCGTTAAAACGATTTTGTGAAAATAGTCTACGAGCCACAGTCTTCCATGTCACAAGCACGAGATATGTCAAAGAACAAGAAAACAGTATAAAAGAATAAACATGATTTCCGATGTGAAGAGATTAATATATAAGCGAATAAAGTTCAATTACTTTTTTCACGAGAAAACAAACATTTGTGTCGATTGGTCACGATCGACCAATAAACAAAAAAATCTTCAAAATGCAATAAAACATATACACAGATTAATGATACAGAGATGAAAAAACGTGAGCGTTTGTATTCACCAATTGTGCAAACAAAGCCAACGTACATGCCATTGTAAAATTTGGATCCTCTTTTTGCACGAAGACGAAATAGAGAAAATTCTTTGAGCACGAAATTAATATAGAAAATGATAGAGAAACGTCGAAAAGAAATTATAACATTTCTCACGGGAGATAATGATCCTTTTGCTCTTGTGATGAAGGCTTAGTGTAATAGCTACGGTACGAATGGAAAAAACCGTGCTCGTTAAAACACAATGTACTTACGTGTTTTTAAAAAGAGATATGATATTAAAAATAATAATAATGACGATAATGATAATACAATACTAATAGATCACTTTATACGCAAGCGATAATACGTTGAGTAATTTCTAAGAATTCGGGGTGGAATAAAAGAAAAAGTGAAAAAATAAAAACGTCAACTATTTGTCCGTTCGTTCTTAGAGATCGAAGGCTATAATAATTTCTTTAGTAATGATCGAGAAAATGTAATGAAGAAGGAAACGAACAGTGTGTCGCAATGAATAACCGACCCCGTTGTCTGTTGATCGAGAAGGCGACCTCTACTAGGCTTCACAACCCTACACGGCCATGTCCCGGGTAAGGGGACAAACCCGTGGTAGAAGAAGTACTTACTGGTGGTCGGACGAACTAACGAACCTTAGGGCCGTTGCGACGACCACAGTAAGGAAACTTTCCAGGGCCAGGAAGAAAAAGAAGAACAGTGATGAAATAGTGCAGTGCCTGGACGCTCGAAGGGACGCAAGGAGGGCACTGTCTAGGGCTATTAAAGTGGCCAAGAGGAACTCATGGAGGGACCTGCTGGACTCCATAGAGGAGGATCCATGGGGAAGACCCTACAAACTGGTCTTGGGGAAACTAAGGCCTTATGCCCCACCAGTAACCGAAACCATGGAGGAGGAGGTACTGGAAAAAATCCTCTGTGAGTTGTTCCCAGGAGGACCGGGAGTTGACGAGCCGCAGGAACCTACGCTATCGGAGGTAACTATCTCGGAAGAGGAGGTCTTGGCTGCTGCCCGGAAAGGAAGAGGAAGAAAGGCTCCTGGACTGGATGGAATACCGGGTGTGGTTGTGCGTGCTGCGTCGATACACTGTGGGAAAGGGTTGGCGCAGTGCTTTTCCGCATGCCTCAGCACAGGAAAGTTCCCAACAGCGTGGAAGATAGCGAGGCTCGTCCTTATTAAAAAGAAAAGGGACGCGCCCCCGGACTCATCGGGATCATATAGACCCATATGCGTGATTGGCGAACTGGGGAAACTATTCGAGCGGATAGTCGTTGGCCGGATCAACAACTATTTAGAGGAGACTCGTACCCTGTCGTCATCACAATATGGGTTTAGGCCGGGAAGATCCACTGTGGATGCCGTCCTCGATGTTAAAAACTTCGTGGAGGCATCGACGCGGATCGGGAAGGTGGTCATCCTGGTGAGTCTGGATATCTCGAACGCCTTCAATTCCTTGCCGTGGACTGTGATCGTTAGGGCTATGGAGCGTGGAAAATTTCCACGTTACATAGTGAACATTATAAGGAGTTACTTGGACAAACGCGCCATAGCATACACGAACAAGTATGGACGCGTCGTGAAAAGACAAGTGTATTGTGGGGTCCCACAGGGATCCGTTTTGGGCCCTACGTTGTGGAACATTGCCTATGACAGTGTCCTCCGAATCCCGATGCCAGGTGGCTCCCATGTCGTCTGCTATGCGGACGACACGGCCCTCCTGTCATCGGGATGGGACCTGTCACAGGCCATCGTGAACGCCGAGCAGGACCTGGAAGTCCTGGTAAGGGAGATCGAGGGATTGGGCCTTAAAGTGGCGCCACAAAAGACGGAGGCCATGGCCTTCCCTGCCTCTGCCTTCTGCAGACGCAGGAATGTCTCACCCCCTAAGATTTGCCTTAGAGGGGTTCGCGTAGAGGTCAGAACCAGTGTGAAATACCTGGGCATTGTGGTAGACTCAAAAATGTCGTTCAGGCCCCACTTTGAGGCCGTAATTCCAAAAGCCGAGGGTATCCTTCGGTACCTTGGAAGGCTCCTTCCGAACCTTCACGGACCGGGCGAGAGGAAGCGGCGCCTCTATAGCGGCGTGATCCACTCGATGCTCCTATATGGGGCACCGGTGTGGTGGCGCGCCATTGTGGAGGATACGCGTATCGGGCGGGCTGTGCGGAGCCTCCAAAGGAAGGTGGCGATCCGGGTGTGTTGTGCCTATAGGACGATCTCCTTCCATGCGGCTATGATGATCGCGGGGATTATTCCTCTCGGTCATTTAGCACCCCAGCTGGCGGAAACGTATGCGGCCGTTAGAGGCGCGGAGGAACCTGTTTCCCCGCGCGCTAAGGCTGTATTGGGTGCTCTTGTCAGAAGGAGGGCAATAGAGGCATGGAAGGCTGAGGAACTAGAGTTTGTCGGGTCCCCAGAGGCAACGGGAGTGCGCACGAGGGCGGCCATTGCCGAATGGTTGGCTGAGTGGATTGGAAGGCCGTTCTCTATCGGAACGACATTTCATACCACGCAGCTGATGACCGGTCATGGATGTTTCTCGGCGTATTTATATGGAATAAGGAAAATCCCCTCCCCACGTTGTTTTCACTGCGAGGGGAGTGAGGATACGGCGGAACACACCCTGATCGACTGCCCGGCGTGGATGGATGCCAGGAATGAGTTGATCGCCGGGATGGGGGGAGGACAGCTAACCCTTCTCGAGATAGTCAGGGTTTCCCTGACTGTCCCGGGAGGATGGGCGGCCTTTCGGACCTTCGCTGGACGGGTTATGCGCGCAAAGGAGGACGCTGAGAGGCGCAGGGAACGGTTGCGCGCAGATGATGGATGTGTGAATGAGCGTGTGGGTTCGTACGCGGATGGGAGCGCGAACGATCGGCCGCATAGGAGAGTGATTCCAGTGCGGCCACCTCGGGCAAGGCTCCGAGCAGCTCAGGCGGCGCCTGGCTCAAGCGTCGCTCCTCTATAGACGTTAGTTCGTGTAAACGAAGATGAATGGGCCTGGTCAGAGCACCATGGGGTGGAAATCGGGCCAATATGTATATAGTCAGGGAGTATTTTGCGTCTCCAGGGGCTCTTTGGCTCCTGTCGAGTGCGCTACAGTGGTGTGAATGTGGATGTATGGATGAATGAGAGCAAGGCGAATACCGGCCTGGCTCACCGAGGAGGGGTGGTGGGTGAATTTGTAATACGCACATGCGTAATCCCGCCCACCACCTTGTTTCCTCAGCGCGTTAGTTATAAGAATCGGGAGGTTTTTTAGTCGGTAGGCGACCCGTTCCTGGGAGCATTCCCAGGCGGGCTGAATTCGACACTCCTCTGAGTACCGGGCTCAGAGGGCCTATGAAGGTTTTTCCTCCTGACGAAACAAAAAAAAAAAAAAAAAAAAAAAAAGAAAAGGCTTCACAACCCTACTGTTCGATGTCTCCTACTCAACTGGACTCCACTCATTTACGAGTAGTCAATCGGATTTGAAACTGCATGGTGCGATGCGCCGATGCCACCAATATTCTATCTCTATGTTTCTTCCCCCGTAGCGGAGGCAATAGTGTTATACTTTGTATGCACCGTACTTTAGCTTCAACTACTCGACGCAAGAAAAACGGATACAAGGCCAGGTATGGCATCCTTCGTTGTTCCTGCCTTTGACCTTTCTCCTTGATTTCTTCTCTCTCTCTCTCTCTCTCTCTCTCTCTCTCTCTCTCTCTCTCAATATATAATATATAATATAAGCATGGTAGTATCCGTAACGTACTTCCACGCTTTCACATAAGGCGTTATAATCTCGTTGCTCTGGGCGACGTCGAATAAAGTACTCACGGTACGTCGGTATAACGCGAGGCACCAACTATTAACTCATTAGTCGAAGTTCTTCGTATTATCGCATTCTCTTTGAGACCGCGCCGGTGTTCTCGTACTTACGCTGCTACCCGCTTGCTTGTGGATTGGATCGAGAAAGGAGCCTGTCGGAGGAAAGGGTGGGAAGAGGGCGTGGGGGAGGAGGTAGAGGAGAAGGGGGGAACGATCGGGGTGGAGGTGATGACAGCGAATGTTGGAAGAGAAAGAGAGAGAGAAAGAGAGAGGGACGGCGTTGGAAACTACGATGGGGTTGGGCGAGTGGGTGGTGGTTGGTGGTAATAGTAAAGGTAGTGGTAAGGGTTTGTATGAGAGAGATAGAACGATAGATACAGTGCACGAGAGAGAGAGAGGGAGGGAAGGAAAGAGAAAGATGTAGCAAAAGGACGAAGAGAAAGATAGATGAAGTTAGATGGAGATAGGTGAGGGAAGGTAGAGAAGGGTGAAGAAGGGTTGCGAGGTGATTGCACGCCCAGCATTGTTTCGAACTGCCGTGTACACGTATATACATCTATTTGACACATAGGTAAAGCATCTTAGAGGCCGCGTAGAAGGGAACTCACCGTCGGCGTTGAGGATGAGAGAGAAAGAGAAGATAGATAGATAGAGGGAGAAAGAGAGAGAAAGGTAGATAGAGAACACCACCGACAGCGCCAGTGCCAACAGCAGTAGCAGTAGCAGAAGCAGTAATAGCAGTAGCAGTAGTAGCACCAGCAGCAGCAGCAGCAGTAGTAGTAGCAGCAATAGCAGTAGAAGCAGTAGCAATAGCAGCAACGGCAGCACCACCAGCCAGCCATCTTGCCACAAACTTGACTCGACCGATCAGCGTCGAGGCTGTGGTCACCGTTGTATCCTCTCTCCCTCTCTTCCTCCCACCCTTTTCTCTTCTCTTCGCTTCTCTTCTCTTCTCTTCTCTTCTCTTCTCTTCTCTTCTTTTCTCCACATGTTCCTTCTCTCTCTCTCTCTCTCTCTCTCTCCCTGTTTTCATCCTCTGTCCTTTTCCTCTTCCTTCTCCTTATATTTCCCCTCTTCTTCTTCTTCCTTTTCTTCTATTTCTTCTTCTTCTTCTTCTTCATCTTCTTCTTCCTCCTCTTCTTTCTCCCAACAGAGCAACCTTTCACCTTCTCAAACCCTACTACATTTGATGACGGAACTACTCCTCGTGGACGCTTAGAACTCGTTCTAACCGTCTAAATAATTAGAGTGCGGTGATTGATTGCACCAGGGCTACGTTTACGATTCTCTCTCGTGGCCAATGTTCTTGTTACTTAGCCGAATTACATAGTAATCGATCCGTAAATCCATTTATTGTCACCTTACTTGACGTAGTGGGTTGGAATTTTCTTTTCTTTTCTTTTCTTTTCTTTTCTTTTCTTTTTTTTCACTTTCTTTACTTTTTTCTTCTTCGTCTTTTCTTTTCCTTTCTTTTCTTTTTTCTTTTTTTCTTTTTAGTCGGCATTAAAGGGAAGAAAGGGATGATAAAAGGACGTTCACAGGAAATAAATCCTCAATGTCGTACTGATCGCAAATTCGTTTCGGGCACTGGCAGAGAGTAAGACTGGCTTAACGAGAAATTCGATCTCTGGCAAGTGGAAGAACGATCCTATGTTCTCTCTCTCTCTCTCTCTCTCTCTCTCTCTCTCTCTCTTTTTCTCTATCTCTATCTATCTATCTATCTATCTCTCTTTCTTTTTTTCTTTACGTCGACGTATTTCGATGTCTCTGATCGAGTGTGGGGATTCAGGACGACGAAGAGAAATAGGTGGGCAGATCGATTTATTTACGTCGCCGATTGGAACTCGCTCAAGACGTTTTTTTTTCCTTTAATGTTCGTGAATACGCGAAACGATTTTTTCTTCTTCTTTTTTTTCTTTTTTCTTTTTCTTTTTTTTCTTTTCTTTTTGTTTCATTTTTCTAGTAACTTTTAAAAAATATGAAAAGCATTAGGTAAGCAAAGAGTTGATCCCCTTGAGATTCTAACGAAAGAAAAAGAGAGAAAGAGAAAGAGAATTTTATTTAACTTTGTCCCTAACGAAAAAAGGAAAAAGGAATAAAAGAAAGGAAAAGAAAAAAGAAGCACAAAAACGAAATACGATAAGAAATCTTAAATCCAAAAATACATTTTATATAATCGAATGACATAATCCATTAATATCGTTCGCTTTATTTTCGTTCCTTAATTAAATACTGTTTAATAA